GTGCAAGGATCTCTCTACTTCTTCCTCATCCATTCTGCATATATGTGGATTCTTCCACCTCTATTATTACCCCACCAGTCATCAGATCACCAGTCATCAAGGGGGTAACTCTGGCATGGGGAAGCAAAGCCCTGCCTTTACCAAGATGGTGGCTTTTAAATAGAGACACAGTGCAGAGCAAGGCATGGTAAGTCAGCAATGAGGGAAAGATCAGATACAAGGTGGTCATGTGCAATATTTGTTGGGTAGGAGCAGCGTGGTGCAGTAATTACACAGAGGCCCAAAGTGCAGTAATGGGTGTATTGAAGAACTTGCAAATGGAACTTCCAGTCAGTGCAGTGGACATTCAGTGGCAGTAGTCCTGAGCAGAAGACAGGGAGGTGGGATGCAGCCTGGCCAATAAAACCCAATCTTTTGGAAGTATAGATGTAGTCCCTGAGCTTTCCCTACTCCTCCAAATCCTCTCCCTACCATTAGTGCTGCCCCTGACAGGTGGGTATGCTCTCTCTACACTAGGCACTTCACAAATGTGAGCCAAACCCCAGGACTTTAAAAGGCTCTGCCTGACCCAAGATGGCCACCAGGGTCACCTGGATGCAGCACAGCCAATCGGAACGCTGCTCCAAGGGACCAAGGTTGTTATAGAGAAACCAAGTTTCTCTTGGCTTCTCCTCCAGCTGCACTGCTGTTTTGGTCGAGAGCTACCTACAGTGGAGACAACAGACTGCAGCTGCTTACATACTGGTGACTAGTCCCATGGCCTCTGCCGGCCTTTTTTAGGGTACAGTTTCCTGAATTCAGTTTTCTATTTAGATTTTCTTAACAAAAAACACAGAGAAGTCAGATGGGTGCATTCTTTCCACAAAAATGTTTCTGTAACCATACATACACACTCAGATATTATTGTTTATGGAGAGAAGAAGGACCTTCCTGTCCACATATTATCTTGTAGGGGAAATAACTCCATCGATCCATCTATCCCAGATCCATCTCTCTCTCTCTCTCTCCCCCTCTCCCCCCCCAGATCTATCTATCTATTTATCTATCTATCTATCCCAGATCGATCTATCTATCTATCTATCTATCTATCTATCTATCTATCTATTTATCTATCTATCCCAGATCTATCTATCTATCTATCTATCTATCTATCTATCTATCCCAGATCTATCTATCTATCTATCTATCTATCTATCTATCTATCTATCTATCTATCTATCTATCTATCTATCTATCTATCTATCTATCTATCCCAGATCTATCTATCTATCTATCTATCTATCTATCTATCTATCTATCTATCCCAGATCTATCTATCTATCTATCTATCTATCTATCTATCTATCCCAGATCTATCTATCTATCTATCTATCTATCTATCTATCTATCTATCTATCTATCCCAGATCTATCTATCTATCTATCTATCTATCTATCTATCTATCCCAGATCTATCTATCTATCTATCTATCTATCTATCTATCTATCTATCTGTCTGTCTATCCCAGATCTATCTATCTATCTATCTATCTATCTATCTATCTATCTATCTATCTATAGATCTATCTATCTATCTATCTATCTATCTATCTATCTATCTATCTATCTATCTATCTATCTATTTATCTATCTGTCTGTCTATCTATCTATCTATCTATCTATATCTATCTATCTATCTATCTTAGATCTATCTATCTATCTATCTATCTATCTCAGATCTATCTATCTATCTATCTATCTATCTATCTATCTATCTATCTATCTCAGATCTATCTATCTATCTATCTATCTATCTATCTATCTATCTATCTATCTCAGATCTATCTATCTATCTATCTATCTATCTATCTATCTATCTATCTATCTATCTATCTATCTATTTATCTCTAGTACCAAGCAGCAGAGTGATTCTCTCTTAGGGCAGCAGTGAGTAATTCTGTAAATATTTGGCCAGCATTTGTCTATGTATCAAAGCTTTTGGTTGGAACATCTCGCTGTGCGTCATCTGCGGTTTGGAGATCCACAGAAACTCATTTCTTCTTCATGTAACTCTGATCTGTTACATAAACCTCTGAGAGGCGAGATCAACCAGCGTACACCATGTACCTCCTCTCCTCAGACCTCCTGTATCCCGACACCGATAACTAAACCTGCTAATGGCCGCACATCTCGGATGTGTTGGAGGAGGTTTCCACCAGATACATCCTCACTTTCCATGAGTGCCATATCAAGTGTCTCTCTTTCCCATTCTCATTGGCAACTATTAGTTTTACAGATATTGTAGTTTAGAAAAATAATTATTCCGCCACCTTTTAATACATTTGTTTTTTTCTGCTTTATCAATACTTATCAAAAAGAGATGCTTGAGAGGAGACATGATCACAATGTCTTAGATTGTAAACTCCCAGGATCAGGGCCCTCCTATCCCTCTTGTATTGAACTGTATTGTTGCTGTATTGTCTCCCGTTATATTGTAAAGCGCTGAGCAAACTGTTGGCACGATATAAATCCTGTATAATAATAATATATAAATCCTGTATAATAATAATAATATATAAATCCTGTATAATAATAATAATAATATATAAAATCCTGTATTATAATAATATATAAAATCCTGTATAATAATAATAATAATATATAAATCCTGTATTATAATAATAATATATAAATCCTGTATAATAATAATAATATATAAATCCTAATAATAATAATATAAAAATCCTGTATAATAATAATAATATATAAATCCCGTATAATAATAATAATACTACGAATATCTAAAAGGTGATTCTAGCACAGGAAGAAAAAACTATTCAGTCTCAGGTCATTTAAGAAGACAGGTGGCCACTCAATGAAATTGGACGAGAAGCGGTGTAACCTTAGACTGTGTAGGGGGTTATTTATGGTTAGAATGGTAAGGATGTGGAACTTCCTTCCACAACTGGTGGTGGCAGTGGAAAGTATTGATAATTTCAAGAATCTTTTAGGTGGGCAACTTAGCGAACACATTATACAGGTAAATGGGGAGTGGTAGAGCCATAATGCATACATACACTCACACCCACACAGGTTGAACTGGATGGTATCTTTATTCAACCTTACCAACTACGTAACTATGTAATAAACTACAAATAAGGCACAGCTTGGGCTGTTAGTTATGCCATCAAAAAGTGTCCTAAACCTTTGAATCAAACCCCAGCATTTCATCTTGCCCAACACTTGACATGTATCTGGTCCCTTCATATATATAACACCACCCCCAATCCTAACATGAAATCGTGCCTCACCATAAGCCCTTAACAAGTAATCGACTCCCTTCAACACTCAACCCATAATTGGCAGAGGCAGCTGTACCTGAGGACCTGCAGTACAAGGATCTCTCTACTTCTTCCTCATCCATTCTGTGGATATGTGTATTGTTCCACCTCTATCATTACCCCACCAGTCATCAGACCACCAGTCATCAAGGGGGGTAACTCTGACATGGGGAAGTAAAGCCCTGCCTTTGCCAAGATGATGGCTTTTATATAGAGGCACAGTGCAGAACAAGGCATGGTAAGTCAGCAATGAGGGAAAGATCAGCTGCAAGGTGGTCATGTGCAATATTTGTTGGGTAGGTGCAGTGGCAGTAACTATACAGAGGCCCAAAGTGCAGTAATGGATGTGTTAAAGAACTTGCAAATGATATAACAGCCCAGTAGGGGAACTTACAGTCAGTGCAGCGGACATTCAGTGGCAGTAGGCCAGAGCAGAAGACAGAGCTCCCAAGGGAGGTGGAATGCAGCCTGGCCAATACAACCCAAGCTTGTGGAAGTATAGCTAATACTAAACTGTAACCGTACCCTAACACTTAAACCTAAGCCTAACACCTAACCTGAACAGAAAAGTGAAACCTTAACTCTTAATTCCCTTCATCAACACTGAGCAACCCTATACACCCGAACCTCAACCCGGACATCCAATCTTTATTCCCAATCACTAACTTCACCCTTCAGTGAACTCCTAACACTAAGGACCTTCTCCATCATGTTCAACCTGTCCTCCTGCACCAGGAATCTCTACAGGTCCAGAGCCAAAATACAGCAGTATGCGAAACGCATCTGGGCGGAGCTACAGAAAAGTGATGCCATCCTGCTAAGTACACCCAAAAAGTGACGGGGTACACCCAGACGTTGTCACTTGTTTATAGCCTTACTTGTTGATTATATGCACATATGACACAATTTAGTGCTGTGGAATTCAAGTTGGGTAAACACTTTTTTTTGTTTTAAAACACAGCAGCTTTTAGTATATTTATATCATTAAATGATTTCTGTGGTGTGGGTTTTTAGGATAAATTTGATGTAGAACAGCAGCAGTTTGGGAGGTGGGTAGGGAGTATGCGCATTTCTTTACATAACAGTATGTACTCTCCAGCGCTCCAGGGATCAATTGCCAAAGGAAAGCCAGGGGAATCAGGATCAAAGTGGCCTATGAATAGCATATGAACCCTCCTCAGGTAGGGAAATTAACAACTGGAAAAGAGCAAACAGGAGGCTCAAACCCCCCCTAGTGCAGGGGCGGACTGACCATTCAGTCACTCGGGCACTGCCCGAGGGCCCGAGGTCAGTAGGGGGCCCCATAAAATGCCCCTGATAACTTTTTTATAGGCTTTTTTGAGTGTGGGCAAGGACACAGGGGCCCCATGATCCCCTTTTGCCCAGGGGGCCCCATGAGTTGTCAGTCCGCCCCTGCCCTAGTGCATTATCCAAGGTTTATTTGAAAGTGAAAAAGAACGAAAACATACTCTCTATTTCTTTACATACACTTTGGCAAGTAACATGCTCCCACATCAAGTATATACTGTATTTCACCTGTTCTGTTTTCTGGTTTTCTAGAGCTGCCATTGACTTGATCCACAATTCATATAGTAATTTCAATATCTTCTTTTTCTGTTTTTTTTAGAACTGAACAGAGTCTGTCACCCCAGTACACCTCTACCATCATATTTTCAAAAACATGAGCTTATCCCAGTCGTGGTTCCTGCCGCTGAGCATTCTTCTACTTGTGGATCAGTGTCATGGCCTATTTCTGCCCAACAACACCTTTTTGGAGAACTTTTTGAACAAATACAGTAACAGCGACACTCCTCATTCCCGAAGCAGAAGGGCCATCTCAAGGTCAGATAAAGATGAGATCCTACAACTGCACAACAAGCTACGAGGGCAGGTTCACCCACCGGCCTCTAACATGGAGTTCATGGTGAGTTGTCAGAGCTCAAACATTCCAAAACTTGAATAGCTTTAGACATAGCTGAGTGGTTGAGCTTGCTGAGTCCTTTGGCATTGTGATCCTCAGACAAATTGTGCTAAAATGTGTGTGAAGTTCACCTGTTATTTTTAGGTACTTCCATGATTTTGCTTTTCTGGAGAGTGACTTATTTCTTGACCAGGCCATTATTTGGTGTTGGGGTTTTAGGACTATTTTGTTCAGCTTTATCTCCAACTTTGACTTTGCTGAAAGTTAATGTTTGAAAGGGGAATTGTATGACAAAGTCCATGTTAGGTGCTTTCTAATTAGGCTAGACCAGTGGTCTTCAAACTGCAGTCCAGGGGGTGGATGCAGCCCTTTGCTTGCTTTTATCTCCCTTGGGGCAATATTCTCTCCATCGTCAGCAATAGTAGGGCATTGGTTCTCCAACAATGGGGCACTATTCTTTCCACTGACACAAATGATGGGGCAATATTCATCCCCCCTGACATCAATGGTGGGCACTATTCCTCCCACTGATACCAATGATGGGGCAATATTCATCCCACTGACCCCAAGGATGGAGCACTATTCATCTCATTGAAATCAACAATGGGGTACTATTCCTCCCAGTAATACAAATGATAGGGTACTGTTCCTCACACTGACATCAATGATGCGGCACTATTCCTCCCACTTGCATCAGTGATGGGGCACTATTCCTCCCACTGACATCAATGATGGGGCACTATTCCTCCCATTGATACCAATGATGAAGCACTATTCCTACCACTGACACCAATGATGGGGTACTATTCCTCCCATTGACACCAATGATGGGGCAATATTACTCCCACTGATACCATTGATGGGTCACTATTCCTTCCACTGACACCAATGGTGGGGCACTATTTCTCCCACTAATACCAGTTAGAGGGCACTATTCCTCCCTGACACCAATGACACTATTCCCCCACTGACACCAACATGGGGCACTATTCCTCCCACTGATACCAATGATGGGGCACTATTCCTCCCACTGACACCAACAATGGGGCACTATTCCTCCCACTGATACCAGTGAGAGAGCACTATTCCCCCCACTGACACCAACAATGGAGCACTGTTCCTCCCACTGACACCAACAATGGGGCACTGTTCCTCCCACTGACAGCAACGATGAGGCACTCTTCCTCCTAAAGACACCAACGATGAGATACTATCCCTCCCACTGATACCAAAGTTGAAGCACTATTCCTCCCACTGACACCAATGATAGGGCACTATTCCTCCCATTGACATCAATGATGGGGCACTATTACTCCCACTGATACCATTGATGGGTCACTATTCCTCCCACTGACACCAATTGTGGGGCACTATTCCTCCCACTGATACCAGTGAGAGAGCACTATTCCTCCCACTGACACCAATAATGGGGCACTGTTCCTCCCACTGACACCAACAATGGGGCACTATTCCTCCCACTGACACCAACGATGGAGCACTATTCCTCCCACTGACACCAACGATGGGGCACTATTCCTCTCACTGATACCATTGATGGTCACTATTCTTTACACTGACACCAATGATGGGGCACTATTCCTCCCACTGACACCACCAGTAGGGCACTATTCTTCCCACTGATATCAATAATGGGGCACTATCCATTCCACTGACACCAATGGTACCACAGTCCGACTCCCGTACAGTTTGAAGAACAGCAAAAAAATTCCCTTTGTCTATAAAATTTGTAGACCCCTTGGCTAGAGCAACAATGAAGCCCTATAAGCCAACTTAACTCTGAAAAGTTGTTTGTTGTCAGTCATTAAAGTGAAGAAACCTCCAGTGTTCGTGCTCTCGTAGATACCAAAATGTTTAAAAGTGATCAAACCACCTCTACACGATTTGCCTGAAACCCAAAAGTCTGATTTTATCAATCAAACCATTTCCAAAATGAACTTTTGAAAGTGTAAACCTTGAATCTCCACTTGACCTCCACCTCTCCTCACCATAGCAGATGGAGCATAAAATATGTAGCAGTTAAAAAAAATGGTTAAACAGAATATTAAATTGGGAAACACAGGAGAAAATGAGAATGAAAACGTAAATCAAACCTCTGCACCTCCCTTTGTATAGTCCAGGTTCTTTTGGCTAAATATATATCTGCTGGATAATAATTATGATAAAAATGTTCACAATATGTATCATTTCTTGGAGTTTTCTGCTTAAAAATGTTTAGGTTTTGCTTAAAAGTAGACTTCCTGGCAAAATGTCTTTGTTACGTTTTGGGTACAGCATGGAAGGCTTAGAACCTCTACCAGGTCTTTATTGCTGTCTATGGTGGAAATTTCTTTTCGCGTCCCCTCCTGGTCTCAACCATCAGGAATCAAAGTAAAATCTTTACAGTTCGGACACAAACAGAAATAAAAAAAAAAAAATACAGAGATCCTAACCCTTCTGTATCCCATCCAAAACTAAAGGGAAAGTTTTTGTAGGTTCTCCAGAACAAACAAGAAGCTCTTTCTGGAGTCTACAAACTTGATGACCTGTGGGACACCAGCTCAATTTAAGGGCTTCTTTAGAAAATATTTTTTAGATATTCCGGAAAGTGTGAAATGAACTGTAGTTCCAGAATCGACTGAAACTGCACAGATATCTTCCTCTGCATCTTAGCCATAAGTCTTCTTCTCTAAAGAAAGCAAGACTTTGACAGATCAGCATCCAGATGGTTCTCCTTGGGTCCAGGAGCGCAGATGTTTAGCTCCTGTTTAGCCGAATTCGCTGAAAAGAGGCTCTTCTGTGTGACACTGAACAGGATCTATTCTGGTAACCGAGGTCCCAGCAGAGCCCGGAGCGAGGCCAAAATCCTGAGCGAGGGCTCCTGGGCCCAGAAAAGACAGCTGAGCGGAGTATTTGGCTTGGCGCGGGATATGAAAGCTAGGAGATGACATACTGTTTGCTCGCAGCCATTAGAGCCGGCAGCCTTTTATATTTGTCTTCTACTGAATGCACTTCTCTTGCGGGGAAAACAGAAGCTTTTCTTTAAGCAGAAAGTTAAGAAGAACAAATTTAGGAAGGGTGGGATCCATTGGCTATTAGTGAATAACAAGTTGGGCCATGTAATAAATTATTAGTAACTTTCATAGGTAAATACGGAGAGTTTTATTCTATTACTGAGCAGTGAGGATAAATAACGGGTAAACCATTTTCTGGCCAATCACAGCTGGCATCCGAATCAGTCCCTAATTCCCTCCTTTTCTGGGATTATTTTGTGTTGCTCTAACCATTCTGCCAGCTGAATCCCAGCATTTTGAATAGTGCTTTTTATTGCATTGAATGTTTCATTTAATTTAAACAAACCTAATAAGCCTTTTTCTGGCCTGACTTGTGTTTGCTACACTGATTGATCAGCTCTGCACTGATCTGATTCTTCCTGCTGGACTTTTCAGCTCTGCACTGATCTGATTCTTCCTGCTACACTGATTGATACTCTGCACTGATCTGAATCTCCCTGCTAGACTGCCTGGCAGCTCTGCACTGATATGATTCTTCCTGCTACACTGATTGATCAGCTCTGCACTGATCTGATTCTTCCTGCTGGACTGATTGATCAGCTCTGCACTGATCTGATTCTTCCTGCTACACTGATTGATCAGCTCTGCACTGATCTGATTGTCCCTGCTACACTGATTGATCAGCTCTGCACTGATCTGATTCTCCCTGCTATGATTGATCAGCTCTGCACTGATCTGATTCTCCCTGCTAGACTGATTGATCAGCTCTGCACTGATCTGAATCTCCCTGCTAGACTGCCTGGCCAGCTCTGCACTGATATGATTCTTCCTGCTACACTGATTGATCAGCTCTGCACTGATCTGATTCTCCCTGCTAGACTGATTGATCAGCTCTGCACTGATCTGATTCTCCCTGCTGGACTGATTGATCAGCTCTGCACTGATCTGATTCTCCCTGCTAGACTGATTGATCAGCTCTGCACTGATATGATTCTCCCTGCTGGACTGATTGATCAGCTCTGCACTGATCTGATTCTCCATGCTGGACTGATTGATCAGCTCTGCACTGATCTGATTCTCCATGCTGGACTGATTGATCAGCTCTGCACTGATCTGATTCTTCCTGCTGGACTGATTGATCAGCTCTGCACTGATCTGATTCTCCCTGCTGGACTGATTGATCAGCTCTGCACTGATCTGATTGTCCCTGCTAGACTGATTGATCAGCTCTGCACTGATCTGAATTTCCCCCTGCTAGGACCGATTGATCAGCTCTGCACTGATCTGAATTTCTCCCTGCTAGACCGATTGATCAGCTCTGCACTGATCTGAATCTCCCTGCTAGACCGATTGATCAGCTCTAAACTGATCTGAATCTCCCTGCTAGACTGATTGGTCAGCTCTGCACTGATCTGATTCTCCCTGCTGGACTGACTGATCAGCTCTGCACTGATCTGATTCGCCCTGCTAGACTGATTGATCAGCTCTGCACTGACCTCATGATTCCTGATATACTGATGGACAGGCTAAGCACTATCCTCATACTTGCCTGCTACAACTGGCACTTGCATGATCCCCTGCTACAACTGGCAAAGCTCTGCACTGACATGATCCTCCATGCTACACTGAATGACATGCTCTGCACTGACATGATCCCCCATGTTACACTGACAAACTGCACTGACATGATCCTCCATGCTACACTGACTAACAAGCTCTGTATGCATCTATCCTTGCTGCTACACTGTTTGAAAAGCCCTTTACCCACTGAATCCATCATGCTACATTGGTTGACAAGCTCTGCACTGACCTCATCCTACCTAGACTTCTAAAGTATTCAGATTTATTGCAGCTGGCCATTCTGATGTTTATATAATCACTTGCAACCAGATTTAGTAGATTTTTCACAGTGCTTCTATACAGAACTGTTACCTCTAGTCACATGACTTAGTTTGCAGTCTCACTTCCTGTGAACTATAGCTAGGGGGCACT